TGGGCCTCTACAATACTCAATCCAGATTAGTCGGTATAATAGCTTATATATTGCATTGTAGACGCTAGAAGAAATCATCTTTGGTTATCATTTGAGATGCAATAGTTTATCAATTGCTTCCTCCTATATTTGGAAATGGAAATTTTCTATCACAATTTTTAATCAAGCAATTTCATGAAAAGATCAATATCAGAGGCAATTTTCCCCCTCTGTGAATGCGTACTCTTAATTTTATTAATTTCATTACTGTTACTAATATTCTACATTTTGTATTCCTTGATTCATTTATGTGGCATCTGAATTCCATGTATATACCAGATTGATTGCAAAGTACAGGCCAACAATGCCGGTTCTCTCAGTTGTCATCCCTCGCCTTAAAACAAATCAATTGAAGTGGAGCTTCAGTGGGGCCTTTGAGGTACGTCATTCATCCTGAATCCAGGATGTCCAAGTAACCACTTAAAAGTTGATTTTGTTTGTTTTATAATGCCTTGCAGTCATCATCTAAAAGAAGAATTTGTGGAATAATTCTGTCGCATGTTTTTATAGGTCGGAATAGTTCTATTTTTGGCTTTAGTTTGTGTTGCGGTTAATTTTTAGATCACTTCTTAGAAGGCTAAACTTTCGATATTTATTTTGGCTTGTACACTAATGTTCTTAATGGAACTCTCTTTTTGATGCCAATTCTTCAGGCAAGGCAGTCCCTCATTGTCAGAGGTCTTTTCCCTATGCTCGCTGATCCACGACATCCTGTAAGTACCGTATTCAAGACTGAAAGAAACTTCTATAACTATACATTTTAGATTGTACCTTAGAACTTATATCACTATGATTTGTTTCTGCAGGCGGAGTCCACAAGCGCATCAAACGAGTCAGTTTTGAGGGTTGCACTTGACTACGGGAAGGCTGCCGGAGTTATCAAGTCACATGATCGAGTTGTTGTTTGCCAGAAGGTTGGGGATGCTTCTGTTGTGAAAATTATCGAACTCGAAGATTAAACTACATCCTTTCGGTGAAAGGTATATTTCCAAAACTGATTTTTGGAAGGGATGGGGTTTTGGTGAAGGCTTGGATTTGAAATGTATTAGGAATGCATACACTTTTTACAATCTGGTAAAACTTATGAACATGAAAATATGGTCCATGATCCCATTGTGCTGAATAAAGATGATGGATCAATTTAAACACTGAAATGAATTGCAATGCATGATTTAAAGTTTTTATATTTAATTTCTCTTTCTTAGACTGCAATTTTTTAGAATCAGCCTTGAATTGGTTATAAATTATAAGAGTATTAAATTTAGCTTGGTGGTCGAAATAAGACCTGACAAATTTGACCCGTACCCGATTACTTGAATCAATTTACTTAATATAGGCCTGAATATGATGACCTAAAATTGATCTGAAATCCGAAATAACCTTGAATCAAATCGAAATCAACATAAAATTTAGTTGGATCGAAAGCAACTTGAACCAAAAGTAACTTCAATCGAAAGTAACTTGAATCGAAAGTAACTCGAATTGAAAGCAACCCGAACCGAAAGTAACTTGAATTTAGTTTACCCATATTTGATCCAAACCGAACTTCGACCCTATTTTAACTTGATAATTGAGTCTAAGTAAATGAATAATTTATTTATTTATTATTATTATTATCTATTTTTAGCATTGATAAATACTAAAATGATGTATATTTTATTCTCATTTAAAAGACCATCTCTACATCTGATGAAATAATTTCTAGTTATGAATATGGGCTATGACAATATATATTCACATAAAATTCTTGATTTATTAATTCGATTGATTAAAACTAAAATTGCTAACTCTAAATTTGGGATGTGATAATATATAATCACATAAAGTTCTTGAATTATGAGTAATAAAGAGCGGCACCGAAAGTTATGACGACAAAGAGTAACAATGGTTAACCTGAAAATCTAAAGGTTGACCCGAATTGAAACCAATCCGAAAATCTAATGGTTGACTGAAACATAAACAAACCGATCTGATATTAACTCGACCTGCAAACCAACCGGTCCGACCTGAATCAAATCTAAATTAAAGTAGTCTAAACCCGAAATAAATCGACCTGAACCTGATCTGAATGATGCGATTGCCACCTTAAAACTATTACTTTTTCACCATTAAAAAATATAACTTTTGAAACTGAAGTTAATTAGCACCTAACGATCGTGTGTTCGAGACTCACTAGGTGTGATTTCTTTTAACTAATTTCATTTTATTTATAAATATTTTCATTAATTTTGTATTCCGTTTAATCAAACGCTGAGCACCTGTGGCCTAATGGATAAGGCGTCTGACTTCTAATCAGGCGATTGTGGGTTCGAGCCCCATCAGGTGTGTTGTTTTCTAAGTTATTTTTATTTTAGTTAATTCATTCCACTTACATATAATACCTATAGTTTTTAATCTTTGTAAATTTAGTCCATCTCTGTAAATCTTAGTCCATTAATTAGCATGTGTAGCAAGGTACTTCACAAGTTTGTGGATTCATAAATCTTATCTCTATCATTAAAAAAGAGTTAATTGCATCATAAATCCCCAAATTATGACCCTCATTTTAAATTGGTCCTTAAACTTTTAAATATTCCAATTTTATCCGTAAACTAAGACTCTCATTCTAAATTAGTCCTTAAACGTTTGAACATTTCAATTTCATCCCAAACTATGACTCTCATTCTAAATTAGTCCTTAAACGTTTGAACATTTCAGTTTCATCCCAAACTATGACTCTTATACTAAATTGGTCCCCAAACTTTTGAATCTTCCGATTCACCCCTAAATTTATCCAAATATGTAATCAATTTTAGCCATAGTTTAATCTAAATTTAATTAATTCAAACATATAATAATATAACTTGGCCTAACAATTTTATTAACATGTGATGTAATTAGTATATACGTATACTTTGAGATGAAATCGAAATGTTTAAAAAGTTTATGATCCAATTTGGGATAAAGATCATAGTTTGGGGATGGAACTGAAATGTTAAAAAGTTTGAGGAATAATTTAGAATGATAGTCCTAGTTTAGGAATGAAATTGGAATTTTTTAAAATTTAAGGACTAATTTAGAATGAATGTTATAATTTAAGGACATGTGATGCAATTAACTCTTAAAAATATTTATGTAAACAATTTTATTTGTAAAAATCAAATTATCAAGTGTGAAAATTGAGATTCAACCTATTATAATTTTTCCATTCATTACCATGAAATACATTAGTCATTACCATACATATGTGTGGGATCCACTTGTAGATTATGAAGATCATGCTCATAAATAGAAATGAATGATGAATAAGTTCATCTTGGATACTAATGAAATAAAAAGTATTAAATGAGAGTTTCACCCTATAGGTGGATTGGTAAGAAAAACATTTATAAAGTAATGTGTTTTAATAATTTTATTTAAACATTTATAAAAATTAACAATCTTATAGTAATATATAAATACATTTTGTGAATAAGAATAATGGTTTTTTTTTATTAAATAGAGAGAGATTACATCTGCAAAGTAAATGAAGAGATTCAAATCCGAGATAATGTGAATATGACTAATTAATAGATCTCAAATAAGACTAATATTATAATTGCATAATTGAGTTGAAGATCAATAACCAATTATATTAAATTCAGTATGTAAATTAAATAATAGTATAGATATAGAAACCTTGTACGTTAAATCAACATAAGTGTAGTGATAAAGAACTTGGACGTTAGTTCATTAGTTTTTGAGTTCGATATTTAAGGAGTGATTTTTAATTATTTTAGTTAAATATTATATAAACACATATTTTTATAATAATTAATATAATATTTTTGAATAAATAGAATCTTATAATTTTAAAATTGAATTGGTGTCGAGTTAACTCGTGATACCAAACCAATCAATCACTTTAATATTGTTAGTGTTTATAATTTAATTTTAGTACATTTTGTTGATTTTATTAATTTTAATAAATTTTGGTATATTTGTATAAAAATGAATGATGATATTAGAAAATTTTAATTTTGGAAGAAATGACGAGTCAATTTGGCAATTTTAGTGATTTTAGAAGAATGATATTATAAAGTTTCTTTATTTTTATTTTTATAGAATATGTTAATTCTATTAAAAATAGAAAATATACAAATTACAATGAATATTTACAAACACAATTGTAACCTAAACATATAATAAAAGTATTTTTCTAAACAAAAAAAACCAAGCACTTAAGATCACAAAAGGAAAAAGTTAAAAAAAACCTAACCAAATAAACTCGAACAAGAGATAAATAAGAATAGATCTGTCTGCACTGGTAAACGAACAAAAAAGGAATAAAACTATTGAAAGACCACCGACATACTGTAAATCAGAATCGAATGGTGTAAAAATAATATCCACGAATGCAAATCGCATATCCAAATTCAATACGAGAATCTCAAGCAGGGAAATCATCATGATAACAAATAAGCGCAATCTTGATCAGTCGTGACGATGTCAAATCCAACCTTAAAAAAATGAAAGCAACATCCAAATAACCGAAAACGTATCATAGAGGTAGAGAAAAATATGTTATAAAGACAGAAAATACGTGTCAAAAAGATAGAATTATTAAGAATAAAAAATAAAAAAATAAAGATACACTATAATAAAATAAAAAATAATAATGAATACCTATGATCGGCCACCATTACCGAGGCTAGTGCCTTCATCGATCACAAAGATAAAAAAAAAAACCAACTGTGACTGTAATAAAAGAGAAGAAATGTAAAAAAAAGAAGGAAGAGAACAAACCGTAGTTATTTATATTATAAAAGTTTCAAAGTACATTAATTTTTAAATATGTATATAAATTATGTTTTATGATTTTCTATATTTTATTGAAGTATTATTGAACCGTCTCAAAGTTCTTCCATGATTGAAAATGAAAACCCATAATTCACATGTAGGAAATAACTCAATTTCATAAACAAAATTTCGAAGAACTGAAGCAGAACAAGCTGTCTTTTTTTCATACAAAAAAACAGTAATTATATGTAACATTTTCAACCGTTGATGCTTGATGGATCTCCCCTTCTGTTAGAAGAATGCTGGTGTGGCTGATTATAGTGTTGAAAATCCACCATCTCCGACAGCTCCAACTCCTTCTGCTTTACCATCAGCGCCATTCTCTCGTTCTCGATCCGCCTTCGTTGGTTTTCCAGCTTCTCTTTCTCCATTTCCCTTTCTTTCTTCCCGCTGAATCTCACCCACTTGAGCCTCTGCTTCTCCAGCTCCAATGCTTGGCATTGGTACCTCACTTGTTGCTCTTCCAATTGCATTGCCCTCATCTTCATCCAATGCTTCTTCTCCCAACCACTCTTTGATCCATCTTCTATCACCTTCACCACTTCGCTGCTCAATTGTTCCATCAATGGAGACATCAATGGCGACAATGACGTCTCACCACCTCCATTTCTCGGTCGTTTACTTGACGATTTTTCATTGTTTTCTTCATCCGTTGCTTCTTCATCATCGTCATCTTCATCGCCATCAAAATCGTCATCGTCATCGTCATCGTCGTCATCATCATCATCCTCTTCTTCACTGCATACTACTTTAGCCAACTTCGACTCCGAATCGCCACCGATTCGAGCATTATCCGACGAATGGAGGAAACTCTGTTGTTGAGGTTTCTGGTGCTGGCTTTGGGATGTCTCCTCTGGTGAATGATTAACATTTGAAGAATGGGGACAGCTATTATGGTAAGCACACATTTCTCTGAAGAACAAGTGCTTAGAATTCAACAATTTCCTAACTTCTTCCTTCATTGTGGGCGACAAATCCATAGAATCGAGCAAGCTTTGATTCTCCACTACCTTACAAGCAGTCCCTCTACCAAGTATATCATTAACCCTCTTGTACCTCTTATTCAAATCATTGAACTTATCTTCACATTGTTGAGGTGAAACATAGAACCCTTTCTCTATCATCGCCCTCGAAACCGATCTCCATTTCCCTTTCTTCTGCAACAATCCACCACCAACACCCTTTTTCTTTCCACTAGGATTAGTGCAACCCTCCGGTCCAGCTTCATCACCGATGTAATAAACCGCCATTATCAGTAGCCTCACCATGCCATCGGTCCATTTCATTCTTTGCCATGGGGAACCTTTTCTCTTACTACCACCACCGTTATCAAGAGTGAAACCAGTCTCATCATCATCACTAAGAGTGGATGTCTGTCCGGTTTTGGAACCAAAAGGTAACCTTGTTTAAGCTGTTGTGACTGTGAGTTGTCGTTTTCATGGTGAGAAGAATAAGCAACCATTTGTGGGTGTTGATGAAAACCATGTGGGTTTTGAACACTTTGGGGATTCTGAGGTTGTTTTCGAGGGTATAACGGCGTTTCAAGGCCTAAAATTCCTGAACCAGTCCCAGAAAACGCCCCACCAGGTAAACCAGAAGTTTCCATTCATAAACAATAATAACAGAAAAAAACAGCTCTTCTTCTTCTTCAAACACCCATTTGCTACAACTTTTTCACAACTGTTAGAACGACAAAGAAAGAAATACCCATTAAAGAAGTGAGTGCCATGGAGACGTAACAATCACCAGGAACCTGCAAAACCTCTTCTTCTTCTTGAGGCAGAAACAAAAGGCAGTGAGCAGTGTGAGGTGGTGTTTGAGAATCTTAAGGATGTAACAGAGGAAACACAAACATGAAGAGAGTTAATAGAGCAATTGATTGAGAGATAGCAGATATAGAGACAAAGATAGAAGTAGACAATAGATATTTAGATACAGAGAGCGGAGCTGCCAGTTTTTGTTAGGCAAAAAGGCTTCTGTTTCCTTTGTGCTGAGGCTGAAAATTGCCCATGGTTTTAGTTCTTGGTTTCGCTTTTGACCGGCCTTAAAAAGGTTTAAATATATATTTAATACTTGAATTTAGTACTTTATTTCAAGTTGATCCTTAAAAAAAATTATATCAGAGTAGATATTTTAACTTTAATGTATTGTTTTATTAATAATATTGACTTTTAATGATATGATAATACAATGTTATATTATATATTGTAATGATATTATCATTCATATTTTTAAAAGTTTTCAGAAATTATAAGAATAATTAATTTTTAGAATAAAAATAAAAATATATTTATAAATTAATCCACTATTTTTATTTATTTCTCCCTAATTAATTATTTTTATTTATTTACTTGTACTTGTACTTGAATATTCAATGTATTCGTATTTTAGAATGAGGTAAAAAATTGTTAGTTTGTTTCTGAATAAAAATTATAGTATTTTATTATCCTTTTATATTTTCTTCTATTTTTCTTTATCTTTATCTGATTTGAGTAGAACTTTTCTTAAACAAACTTTTCAATTGATGTAGCATCTTTGATGACTTTACTTTATTATAATAACCGTTTATGACGAAATTTTAACTTTAAACTCGTATTTCTATTTTAGATTTTTAAGATTCATACAAAGAATAAAATTTTAAGTGTTTTATACATTAATTCAGGGAAATTGAGAATTTTTAAATTATTTTTTAAATTAAAAATTAATTTTTAATTTTTAAAATTAAAAAAAATCTATTATGTAACCTCAATGATTAACGGAAGTATTATTTTTCTTAGAGGTTATGGATTCGAACAACTGCGTCTACAGGGTATGTATGCGGTGTCTATTATGTAACCTCAATGATTAAACGAAGTATTATTTTTCTTAGAGGTTATGGATTCGAACAACTGCTTCTACAGGGTATGTATGCGGTGTCAATGATTAACAAAGATTCTGAACAAATACTACCTTGTAACCACTCTAAACTATTCAATGAAAATAAAATTTTAAAAGATTTTTATATGAAAAATATATATGATAACATTATCATTAACATACGATAAAATTTCATACTGTTAGTAAAATTATTAAAATAATATATAAAATTAAAATTTCGATATTAATTTTAGAGTCCGAATTCTTTAAGTTCTAATTTGAAATAAATATATAATTTATGTACCAAATGTATATTTAAGCCAATACTAAATAAATAGTTTGTAAACCCACTGGATTCTGCGAAACTAGGTGAGGTGAAAAACTTTAAAATCTCCACGTTCCTCCATAGACCGATAAAATCTAAATTATTATTTTATTCCATTTTTCTTGCCAACTTTAAAGCATGATCCGAGTATATTTTCTATTTCATGTTTCTTTAATCATACAGGTAAAAAAAATTGTAGTAAATATATATTTAATAATAATTTAATATATAGTTCAAGCATGCTTAATATCGAAAGTTAAATAAGATAATTCAACATCCATCTCTAGTATCACTGTTTTTTCATACTACATGCATTGTTTCCAAGTCTCATAGATGCTTATGAAATGAACGTAAGTACACAAAAATTTAACATATGACTCAATCACATATGGTTATTTTTTTAGTTTCATTTTTATGAGTACAATCTTTAACATATTCAAATAACATGCTTTCGTAATCAGATTGATGCACTAATGAGTGACTCGTCATATTTTTCGAAGTTCATATCAATATTTATCACATCAGTGTGCATCAGAATAGTGATCTAGTTCTACGCCTAATCTTAGTACCCTAATAAATTTTTAATGTCACTTAACGGCAGTTTTTAACGACTATTATGATGTAAGTACCTAAAAATAAATCGTCGGAAACATTATGCATCTAAAAGTGTAATGGAAAAAATGTTAGACACATATTTTTAACGAAAAATTCTTTTATCACATATTTTTTACGAAAAAATTTTTGGGCACTTAAAATTAACTTTAAGTATAGTTGGGACGCTTATTTTTATATTAAACTTAAGATTATCTCATAATATAAAATCCTACGTCTATTCCTGTTGACATATAATCTTATATCATCGGCTTAGGTTAACTAGTTTTGGCAAGATTTAGATAGATGTAGTGGTATTCACTGTTCAATTTGAAGACTTTGTTGGAGAACTGACCTAAATCATCAATATAAAATATTTAAAAAAATTACTTAAATTATTTTAAAATTTTGGTGCAACGCATCCCTCGATCCGATCCTTGGGCCTCTTTATCTGAAGTTCATGGTAACTGGACCACCAGGAAGAGTTTCAGTTCGGGTCGTAAAACATGGTTCTCAACGAGGGACCAAACCAGGTGCTTGAAGCTTCTACTTACGAAATGATATATACTTTATTCACCCTGTTTCTACTTAAGCTGATTCTTGAACCAGCAGCTGTAACAATTTTCCACATTCAAAATAATAGTTCATCGACAAGTTTACCCCTTCCAAGTTCCCATTTTCTCCCTTGAGATAATTATGGTTGTTTTAATGTAGCTTAGCATTTAGGCATCGGTCCACAATCGGCGTTGCCGTCCTAAAGTTGTTGTGATTTCTCGAACCATGGCCCATTTATTAGTTCCCGTAGGTTCAAAGAGTAGCTTCTAACACTCCGGGATCCAAATGTCTACAAAATTGCCCTACATTTTGAACCGCTGCCATTCTCTCAGCTTTGTGTAACCTATGCACCCCCTCCCTTGGAACTTACGCAACCTAATTCCCAACATTAACTGTTTATTATGCTCTTACTTTAAATATTGTATTTGAATTTTTCAGAAGATTATTATAATTCTGTGACAAGTGGAATCAGAATAACTATTTAATTGTCTAATTTCACGTCGGGTGTCATAGTAGGCGGGGTAGGCAAAAAGGATAACCATGACGTAATCTGTTAGGAGAACGTCATAGGATTGTGCAGGATAGAATCTCACATCTTGGAGAGGGGGAGACTATTAATCTTACATCGGAAAAAAAAAGTCCTGAACTGTTGACGAAAACGGGTAAAGAAAAACAAAAGAACACGAGAATTTTACGAGGTTCGGCAATGTGCTTACGTCCTCGATGCCTAGGCGGCGCTAGAAGTTTTATTCAATGATATTTTAGGTCTAGGTTACATCTCTATTTATAATAGAAAACCCTGGTACATAATTACAAAATCAACCCTGTACCGTACCGCAAGGCCTGCGCCCCCGCACCCCCAACCCACATAATTCGTAACCCTACAACGAGACTTTCTTTGTAAGGACAATTGATGTTCGCTTCGCTCACTCCGCTCCATCTCCTGTCCTCTTTATTGGTATATTTATGAGCCATACCTAACAAATCTCCACCTTGGCGAATATCCTGCCCCTTGGAAACTTCAATGTGGGTTGGTTACCTTGCTTCTTTAACAACTCGAAACATTCAACAAGTCCAAGCAATGCTTGAACTTGTCTGTCGTAACTGGCTTGGTGAACATATCAGCGGCATTCTTATCAGTATGTACCTTCTGAAACAAAACCTCTCCAGATGCAACCAACTCTCTGATCTTGTGGAACCTTACATCAATATGTTTAGTTCTAGCACAATACACCTGATTCTTAGCCAAGTGAATAGCACTTTGATTATCACAAAGCAACTGAACTCCACCTTGTTGAACACCCAACTCCTTCACTAAACCAGTAAGCCATAAAGCTTCTTTTGCAGCTTCAGCCGCTGCCATGTACTCAGCTTCAGTTGTAGATAGAGCCACAACAGATTGAACAGTAGACTTCCAACAAATAGTCCCTCTACCAAGAGTAAAGACATACCCTGTCGTAGATCTTCTATTATCCAAGTCACCTGCATAGTCTGAATCCACATATCCTACAACCAAAGGATTATCCCGCTGACTCCCAAAAACAATTCCATGTCCCACAGTACCCTTTAAGTACCGAAAGATCCACTTGACTGCTTCCCAATGTTGCTTACCAGGTTTAGACATGTACTTACAAACTTGACTAACAGCATGAGCTAAATCAGGACGAGTACATACCATCGCATACATCAAGCAGCCAACAGCATTAGAATACGGAACCTTTGCCATATCTTCAGCTTCATTATCTGTCTTAGGGCACTGTTCTGATGAGAGCTTAAAGTGATTCGCCAATGGAGTGCTAACTGGTTTCGCGCTGCTCATCGCAAACCTTTCTAGCATTTTCTCAACATAACCCCGTTGAGATAGCCGCAGTTTCCTTGAGTCTCTGTCCCTGCAAATTTCCATTCCAAGAATTTTCTTTGCAGGACCTAAATCTTTCATATCAAATTCCTGACTCAATAAAGTTTTCAAACCGATAACATCATCCATGTTCTTCGCAGCAATCAACATATCATCAACATACAGTAATAGAAAAATAAGAGAACCATCATCAAGGCTCTTAACAGAGACACAACAATCATACTCACATCGGTTGTAGCCAATCTTGATCATATAGGAGTCAAACCGTTTATACCACTGTCTCGGAGACTGTTTCAACCCGTACAAAGATTTCTTCAATCTGCAAACTAAATGCTCGTTTCCAGGTTGAGTGAAACCTTCAGGTTGCCGCATATAGATCTGCTCCTCTAAATCACCATGCAAAAAAGCAGTTTTAACATCCATCTGCTCTAAATGCAAATCCCAACTAGCCACCAATACAAGTACTGCTCGGATTGAAGTGTGCCTGACCACAGGAGAAAAGATTTCATCATAATCAACTCCTTTCTGCTGTGAAAAACCCTTCGCTACCAAACGAGCCTTGAACTTCTCCCCTTCTTTTTCTGTTACTGCTGGTTTCTTCTTATACCCATTTGCAACCAATCGGCTTCTTACCCTCAGAAGGGGAACTAACTCCCATGTGCGATTGTGATTCAAAGACTCCATCTCCTCAACCATGGCTACCATCCACTTGTCGTTTTCCTGACTAGTAACGGCATCATGAAAAGTAACCGGATCATCACTGCTAACAATAAGTGCAAAAGATACCAAGTCTTCAAAACCCAATCTGTTCGGAGGCTTTATATTCGTCCGTCTCACCCTGTCTCTGGCGAGACTATAATCCTGCAAATCATCCGTAGTGGAACCACCAGAAGTCGGTTGAGAAGTTTCTGGTTTCTCAACTGGAAACTGCTCGAAATCCACCACTGTCGTGTCTTGCTTCTGCTGCAACATGGACTGTTCATCAAAAACGACATCTCTACTAATCACAACTTTCTTCGCAACTGGATCCCAGAACTTGAATCCTTTGACACCTTTCTTGTAACCCAAAAAAATGCACTCCTTCGATTTTGCATCAAGTTTGGATCTCTCATCACAGGTACATGCACATAAGCAGGACAACCAAAAATCCGTAAGTTATCAAAACTAACATCATGACCAGTCCATACCTCTTCTGCAACTTTCCCAGCCAGCGATGCCCTTGGTGATCTGTTGATAAGGTAACACGCCATGTTAACAGCCTCAGCCCAGAAGTGTTTGGGAAGCCCCGCATTCAACCGCAAACATATGGCTCTTTTATTCAATGACCTGTTCATTCGTTCCGCAACACCATTCTGTTGTGGTGTCTTGCGCACTGTAAAATGCCTCTGAATCCCATGCTCCTTACAGAATTGTAGGAACTGTGAATCTGTGTACTCTGTACCATTGTCAGACCGCAAACACTTGATTTTTCGTCATGTTTGGTTTTCTACCTCAGCTTTCCACAGCTTGAACTTCTCAAAAACTTCAGATTTCTGTTTCAAAAAATACACCCAAACTTTCCGTGAAAAATCACCAATAAAAGTAACATAGTACCTAGATCCACCCAAAGACGATGTCGTGGAAGGCCCCCATACATCAGAATGCACATAATCAAGAATCCCTTGAGTTGTGTGCTTCGCAGTCTTAAAACGGACTTTAGTCTGTTTACCAAGAACACAATACTTGCAAAAATCGAGCTTACAGCTTTTGACACCATGCAACAAGTTTCTCTTGTGTAATTCTGCCATACCACATTCACTAAGATGAGCAAGGCGCATATGCCACAATTTTGTCGTATCATCACAGGACTCAACAGAGTGAACTCCACCTGCAACGGTACTCCCTAACAATCTGTAGATATTCCCTGCAGTCATCTTACCTTTCATCACAGTCAATGCTCCTTTAACAATCCGAATGGTTTCCCTATCCTCGTCAGCCTTAGGGATAAAACCATTCTTGTGCAAAGTGCCCAAGGAAATCAAATTCTTCTTCAAGTCTGGGATATGTCGAACACCACTCAACGTCCGAACGGAGCCATCGTGCATCATAATTCTGACATCACCAATACCAACAATATTGCAACATCGATCATCACCCAAATAAACCGAACCAGAATTAACCGGCCTGTATGTCGAAAGCCATTCCCTATTTGGCGTGATGTGATAAGAACATCCAGAATCAAGAATCCAAGCTTCCGTCAATTGTGTCGTTGAAATAGAAAGCATATCACCCTCACTGCAATCAGAATTATCATCCTCGACCACGTTCACAGACTTCGATGAGCCATCACGCTTCTCATTAGTCTGCTTTTTCAACTTCGGACAGTCTCGCTTCATATGTCCCACCTCCTTGCACTTGTAACGGTGAATCGTCTTCTTATCCCTGGATTTGGATCTGGAATTCCGCTTCCCGGACCATGCCTTCTCTGGCTTCCGTCCACGATCTCGATTACCCTTGACATATAAGCTATCGGCTTGAGAGCTTTCCCCTGCATTCTGCTTTCACTGGTTGTGAGCCAACAAGGCTGCAGCAATCTCTTCAACGTTGATAGTCTCTTTCCCATATGTAAGAGTAGTCACCATGTGTTCGTAAGAGGGAGGTAACGAACACAACAGAATCATCGCTCTGTCTTCATCCTCAATTTTCACATCAAGCCGAGCCAGATCAGAAACGATTTGATTGAATACATTCACGTGTTGCGCCAAATCGTGATCGTCCTGCATCTTCAGCCCATACAACCGCTGCTTCAGATACAGTTTTGTCGTTAAGGATTTGGACATAAACTGACTTTCCAACTTTTTCCAAATTTCGTCTGGAGACGATAGATGCATGACGTGATACATGACCTCGTCCGCCAAACATAATCGTATGGTTCCTGCCGCTCGCTGCTGCAATTCTTCCCAATCTTCCTCATCCATCGACGCCGGCTTTGAAGATCGCAAAGCCTTCAAGATCCCTTGCTGCGCCAATAGATCCTTCACCCTCGTTTGCCACGAATTTTGCTCCTGACATCTGATACCAATTGTTGACAAAAACGGGTAAAGAAAAACAAAAGAACACGAGAATTTTACGAGGTTCGGCAATGTGCTTACGTCCTTGGTGCCTAGGTGGCGCTAGAAGTTTTTTCAATGATATTTTAGGTCTAGGTTACATCTCTATTTATAATAGAAAACCCTGGTACATAATTACATGAACTTATAAGCAATGGTGTATCTTATTAGATATATCTTTTGAAAACAGGATAATAATTGGTGATAAAATATGACCAAACTTTAGATTAATAATTTGTGTTATTTGAAGTGTTATAATCGTGTTTAAATTATTACATGTCAGTGATTTTGATTTAATGAATCTTTTGCATGTTGCGTATTGTTGATAAATCGGGCAAAGTAAACGAAAGAACACAAGAATTTTAACGAGGTTCGGCAATGTGTTTACGTCCTCGGTGCCTAGGCGGCGCTAGAAAATTTTTATTCAATGATAATAGGTTTAGGTTACATCTCTAATTACAAAATTAACCCTGTACCGTACCGCGGGACGCACCCCCCGCACCCCCAACCCACATAATCGTAACCCCCTCTACAAGACTTTCTTTGTAAGGACAGTTGATGTTCGCTTCGCTCACTCCGCTCCATCCCCTGTCCTCTTTACCGGTATATTTATGAGCCATATCTTACACGTATTTTTTAGTCATATTTGTATTGTTTTTGTTTATATATGATTTTTTCTCTCCATAGACTAAATTTTTGCATGAAATACAAAAACTATTAATGACTACCATTATTAAATCCATCATTTGTTAGCTTGGGAAATCATCAATTTGACGTCTAAGTTTACGGCTAGAAATTAAATTAGGTCTACTTAGGTTTTGATACAACGTTATCCCAAGGAAAAATATTTATGCTCTTTGTAATTAATGTTTGTGAGCTATTTCAACTAATATCTTGGAGAATAGATTCATCAATGAAGAGCTCTTTTGGTACAAAAAGTATCCATATCTCATAGGATTCTATGTACTTTCCTTGCTATTATCATTTCTCTTTCAAAAGTCCAGTTGTTCTCATCAAGTGTTTTGGTATTCGTTTTTGTATTTGATTTGTACTTTTGTAATATCAATTTGGGTGAATGATAAATGTGTAATTTAAATGAATATATTTATATTTTTAAAAATTAATTGTATTATATATCTCTGAATTATAACCCTCGTTTCAAATTAATCCTTAAACTTTTATGTACTCCAATTTCTTCCCCAAACTATGACACTCATTTTAAATTAGTCCTTAAAATTTTGAATATTCTAATTCCATCCCTAAACTATGACTCTCTTTCTAAATTAATCCCAAACTTTCAAATATTCCAATTTCATCCCCAAATTTATCCAATTATCTAATTAGTTTCAACCATAGTTTATTTTTTTCTCAAACATATAATAATATAATTTGGCCTAACGATTTTATTAACAAGAGATTTGATTAGTATATGCGTATAGTTTGTGATGCAATTAGAATGTTCAAAAGTTTGGAACCAGTTTAAAATGGTTATAGTTTGGGATGAAATTAAAATGTTCAAAAGTTTGCGGACTAATTTAGAATGATAGTTATAGTTTAGGGATGAAATTGAAATATTTAAAAGTTTAGGGACAATTTAAAATAGGGATCATACATTGAAGACATGTGATGCAATTAACTCTATTTTTAAAGTGTTTGTCAAGAATATATTTTGAATTTAAATTAAACATAAGAATTTGAATTATTTGATAGAATTAGGACAGTAAACAAGTCGTGTTGAGTTCAAGTATTCTTGAAAGAGATTAAATTTAAAAAATCTAAAACTAAGTTCAACTCTACTAGAAGATTTACGAGTTTAAAATTGTTAAGCTCGACTAGAATTAAAAATGAAAAATTGAAGTTCGACTCGAGCTTGAAAAAATTTAAACTCGAAACATTGTTAGACTTAGTTCGATTAAAACTTGAACTCGAGCTCGTTTCAAACTCGAACTTGAACATTAAGTACATGAAAATATTATATTGCGTTTTCAATAAAAATACATATAAATATTAATATTATTAATTAAAAACTTAAAAAAATCAAGTTGCTCGCGAGCTTTTTAAGTGGGTTACTAAGTAGTTCGCTTTAACTTGTTAAGAACTCGAGTTAAGTTTGACCTTAAGTAAAGTCCATTTGAATCAAGTGTTAATTGAGCTTTGACCCAATTGAATTCGAATAGTTTACGATCTGTCTTGTCTCATTTACACCCTAGAAAGAATAGGAGGATTGTGACCCTAAATTGCTTTTTTATATATAATTGGTCAATTGAACACAGTAGAGGATGAATGTTTGGGCTTCAAAAATATGTGAAAAATATCTGTATAATTTGAATGAGTTTATGTCAGTAAAAAAAAAGAAGAAAAAAGGATGAAGGGAAATCACCAGTTTCAGACTGAGATGTTTGCAGAAGTTTGATAACGAAATGAGGAAAAAGAAGCGAGCAATGTTGATGATCTGGTGGATGATAAAAGCTTGGAGGAAGCTGCAATGCTTTTAATTGTATGTACCCTCTAAAGTTAAAACCTTTTTGAGCCTATTCCCCCATTAGCTTCCTGCCATCTTTCCTGTTTATGTAAGAAAATCACCCCACTTTACTTTGTGGTTAAAACCTTAACTTTCACTTCCAATTATCACAAGGATTACACCCTCAAATTACTAAAAACCCAAAACAATGTGGACCAAATTAAAATTAAAATCTTTACTAACGTAGGATTTCAGTCTTGTGTGTGTTAATTAATTAAATAAATATTTAACCAATAATAATAGTAATCTAGGGTTTAGGGTTTGAGTTAGGATATAGGGAATAGGATTGTAGGGTTGGGTTGGAGTTGGAGTAAAGATTTAAGATTAGGGTTAAGGGTTTAAGATTGAGGTTGGAATTTTGTGTTTTGATTAGGGTATTTATGAATGTCTAATATTATTGATGACGCCCGTAGCATAGTTTTATTGGATTTTTCTTTTAATATCAACCTAAAAATATAAACTTTTGTGAAAAAAGAAGCAAAGGGTGTGGGCCAAAATGAAATAAAAGATATTTATGCTGAATCAAATCTTTAACAACCTAAAATTTCAATTCTGTCTGTGCATTGGTGCACATCTTTACTGTATATATTTCCTAATTCAATTCCAATTTGTTTGCTTCCTTGCTTGCAAAAGCCATTTAATTCACAATGCTGATGAGAATTGAGTTCGTCTTTAATGTTCGAAAACTCTTCAATAATGTTCCTTTGATTCACATGTGTAATCCAAAACCTCAAAAACGTGTTTCTAAATGGTTTTATCCAACAGATAAACAACAAAACCCAGAAATCTCTCCTGTATACTCAAGTTCAAAGCTTCATTTCATTGGAAGATCAAAGAATGAATTACCAGGAAAGTTCAAAGAGACACTGGCATGGCATTTTGGGAGAAGATAAAACTGTACAAGTTCATTAGGGGGAACTGCAAGTTTCTTGCCATTTAAACAAGCAAAAAGGACAGAACATGACAATGTAAAGCACCAATCCACACAGGTCAACTATACTCATGTTTTGTGTAATTAATTTATTTATTTTTAATGATGTTAAACCAAATCTTTTTTTTCTGTTTAGGGTTGTTACTTTGAGTATGAGGCGTTGTCACCTTGTTAGGATAAAAGTAAAATATATATTTACTTTACATGGTAATTAATAGAGAAGAAGAAGAAAGGAACACAGGCAGTAACTTCTGCCTACTGTCTCATCTCTTTCAGTATTCTGGGCTCAATATATATATAATATATCTGTTATATGTTCTTACCGTTAGCTTCCTTCTTCACGTTTGCTGTTTTGTCAAAAAGATACTTTCTGTGCAATCTGCATGAACTGATGATAGCTATACGAATTCAACCAAATCCATCCGTACATGACCAGTAGAATGCCAGATTTCTATAATCATTTTTCAATTTTAATATTTGTAATAGAAAAAGTGGTATAGGGGAGGTGAAAAACAATAGGATGGGGCTCAGTTTTTTTCGTTTAAGAGACTTGTGTACTGGTTTTACGCCACCTCCTCTATCTCGAGGTCGCTTCCTATGGTGCAATGTGGCCTCACCTATGCCTCATTTCTTCACTTTTTCAGTATTTTTCCTCTCCTTTTTCTAACGGGATAATGTGATGAGATTGATATTCTATGAATTTTAATTTTTATCATAATCAAGGATTTAAATAGCAGTCATCATATATAATGATAACGTTATCGCCAAAACCGTTATTGTATGATTATGATGCTAGTAATAATCACAATAGCATCTATTATATCTACAATGGCGATAAATATAACGCGACTGCAACCTTAATTTGAATTGGTGTCATAATATTTATTGTGTGGGGGTTGTAGAGAGGGTGAGTCTGGCGAGGTAAGGACGAGACGTGAGAAATGCCTTGTTTTGATGGAGGCAGGTTTACGGGACCAGATGGCGACCTATCCTATGATTCTACATTTCCATTTCTCTCCATTTTATTTTACTTCTTCTAAATAGCCGACAACAATCCAGCTATTCCCCCCTTTAAATTCACACATTAACAACATTGTAATGCATGCACCCCAAAAGTGAAGTAAACCCAACCTTCTTTCGTGTTCTTCTCTAGGCAATACACTTTGTTGCACCCAAAAAGATAGTTTTTAGAAACACCCTTTGCTAACTCTCGTTTTCCTGGCTTCTTTTGGTCTCCTCTGGGACCAAGTAAAGTACTGATAAATTTGGTTCGATTTGAAGGGGAAAGGAGACAAAGCAAAAGAGCAGAAATGGATTGGAATAGCACCTTTCGACCCTTTGTTTCTCGACCCGAACCTTCTCTTAACTTCCTCTATAACTACAATTACGATCAGTATCCAGGTAATATATCTTTATCTGGACAAAACAAGTACTGAGTTCAATCTACTATATGCCTTTATTTGTTGATCATCCTCTTTTTTTGTAAGGTATGGAGATGAAGCATCAAGGATTTGTTGCAGAGGTGGGGAATGGAGTGGTTCCAGGTTTGAAGAACAGCTTTAGCATCGGCAGCAATCAAGATAAGAAGAAGCGTTTAACGAGTGATCAGTTGGATCCGTTGGAGAGGAGTTTCCAGCAAGAGATTAAGTTGGATCCCGACAGGAAAATGAAGCTTTCCAGGGAACTTGGACTTCAACCCAGACAAATTGCTGTTTGGTTCCAAAACAGGCGTGCCAGATGGAAATCTAAGCAGCTTGAGCGATTATATGATACGCTTAAACAAGAGTACGATGTTGTCTACAGGGAGAAACAGAAGCTTCAAGATGAGGTTACCATATACATATATGTATATATATATCTTTTTATAAACGAATATAGTATTTTTTCTCTCTATTTTGTGGCCTAACCCTAACCAATACTTGTCAATTCAAAATGAGTTGATATTTGATGAGCTGAGGAAGCAATGAAATTTTGAATCCTTTATGCAGGTGATGAAACTGAAAGGTATGCTAACGGAACAGGCGACGAGAAACCAAGTGTCCACAGGGTACACGGAAATCTCCGGAGAAGAAACGGTGGAAAGCACCTCAATCCGCAGCTCAAACAAGCCGAGGATGGCCGGAAACCACCAGCATCAGATGGCTGAATGCAACTACCTTTTCAATCTGGAGGAGTATAACCCAGTTTCATCTCCCTACTGGGGTGTTCAACTGCCTTCTTATCCCTAATAAACTACGTAATCTTAGAGTGCTTAAATTTAGCTTAGATATTCAGCTTAGATCTTTTAGTTTGTAGTAAGATTCAGAAAGATGTAGTGATGTTCTGGTTGAAGAAGCCACTGTTGAGGAATATTGACATGACGTTAGTGATTAATATATATATATATATGTTTAAGAAGTGATAGGGTGCATTAATGAGTATTGGATCAAGAGCTTGAAAAACTTTTTGCATGAATATGGCTGAGTTTTCTTTCCTCGTTTCTGGTGCAATTGTTGGAAATCTGAATGAATGCTTTAGAGCCACTTCAAATGACAATTTTAATGGAGTACGTTTAGAAGGATGAAGCTGGTTTAGGACACCCCCCAAAAAGAGAGAGAAAACTTTAGGGTATATGAAACCTGAAAATCAGTTGGGAAAATTTTAACATTATGTTTGCTCAAATTCAATTTGAGCCTAAAATGAGTTTATTTATATATCCAACAGTAAACAAAGTTCATTAAAGATGGATATGTAGGATGATAACGGTAACAAACCCATCCTTTTAATCACAAAACGAACAATAATTAGATTCCAAGTTATTGGGTGCTTACTAATTCGACAATACATATTAAAATTCATTAACTGTTTTAAATTGACCTACCAAGTAGTTAGAGTTTCAAACAACTCCATCTCTATTATCTCTCTTTAGGGAAAATTCTAGTATGGATGTCATTTGAGGTATAAATTTAATTATCAGTGTTTATTAAACCAAGCAGTCAAGGAATAAATGGTTTCAAATACGTTTGAAAGGACTAAAATTGAGATTTTATCCATTAATTTTATAAAGAATGATCAAATTCTTCATTTTTCCATGGCTTTTAAGTGTTATTTAACCAAAATGCATACTGGAAACATGCATTCTCAACTTGATCAAATTCCGAGCATGTAGGTTGATGAAAACAAAAACGAAATCAAAATCCATAAAATTACTTCATCACTCAAATTCAACAGTCATAGCATACCAAAATCATAAATGCAAAAACAACATGGCCACCAATGCCATTAAATCCATAAAATGACTTGGAAATTAACATAGTACTAACCCTACTTCTCTGGCCAGGTAAAAACAGATAGTAACTTAGCAACTCAACGCTTTCCACCACCACCACC